GGAGGGGAAGACCCTCTATGAGATGGATTGATTCGGTGACTGGGGTAATCGGGATGGGTGTGTCAGAGGCGGTGCGGTTGGCAGAGGATAGAGCAGGGTTTAGGGCTGTTGTGCATAGGGTCGCTATGAGTTGGAAACGACTCGACGGCACATAACAACAACAACTCTTGGCTACTAAGTTCAAGGATGAACTTAAGTCCAAGGATGAGATAGATTTGCCATATTCTCATTGGTATTACTATTGCTTTCAGAAATTGATTTGCCACTGCTATTTGCCTCTTGCTTAAGAGGTTTGGAAGCAGGAGTGGCATTCACTTCCTAAACCACATGACTCTGGAAACTCTATGAACTTTGACAAATGTCGATAGTTGTAGAGGGGCTTCAGGCCTTTTGTTCATAGGGTCACTATGAGTCATGCTCAACTTGACGACAATCAACAAGAACAACATTTACCTCTTCTTGTTCACCCTTTGTCTTACCTAATGCAGTTACAGAGATATCACAAGTGAAGGCTTTAACAAACAGAAATGTGTTCTCCAGCTTCACAGTAAGTGTTTTCTCCCTTTCTTCCTCTCTTTGTGTGTGTTTTTCATAGATGAAAATCCCTGTTTCCTTCAGCATCGGCATGACCAGTGTTCCTTGGAGCTCTCCATGTATCATGACCTTCCCCTGTATCAAGGAGCTTCCTTGCCCTGAGTCTCAGATCACAAATGACTTGCTTCACTTCTGGTGATTATTCCTCCTTATTAGTACCAGAGTCCCCCCTACCCAAGCTTGCTTCTCTCCTAGTGAGATAAAAGCTACTACAGTCCACACCCTAGGGAAATGTCATACAGTTAGGGCTATGACGGGATTAAGGAGTGTTGCATTTTACCCTTTATTCTCTCACACCTATTGATTTAACGGTTCATGGGGGGTCATTGCGTAGCTTCCACATTATCCATTACATACATGTATTTGTTGTTGTTGTTGTTGTTGTGTACCATCAAGTTGAAATCAACCCACATCAGACCCTCTAGCAGATTTTCAAAGGCATGTTTAATCATATGGGAGAAGATTGCCCATCTTTCTCCCATGGAGCAGCTAGTAGATTGAAACTACACGCCTTCAGGGGTACATAATTAAATCTAGGACGTCCATAACACTACCTGCTGCAGGTACTAAACTGACTCTGTGGTAATTTGTATAAAACTAATTCAGTATTTGCTAATTACTGAGAGTCTGGCTCTCATAGCCTGCTCCAGCTATACTCATTAATTATGGAATAGTGCCTTCAAGATAGGACTTCAGGACTAGTTTGAATTAGTTCCATCATAGCTGACATAGTGAAATCAGAACAAACCTGAATTTGTGAAATGTGGGTTTACTAGAACAATTACCAAAACAAAGAAAATTATTAGTTGGAGTCCTAGAATGTAGGACTCAGATAAGGACTCTTTTGGAAGCTGATTTGAGAGACTATTGTCAGGACTATGACGAACAAAACACATTCAGAGTAGAGTAGGGGGCTGCCATCTTTAAGCCAGCCATCATTGTTTCTGACTCTGTTAGTCAAGAGATTTGATTGTTGTGCAGTATGGACACTCTCCTTGTTTTCTGAAAGTTAGATTATGTTTCTGACAGGCTATCAGCTTGTAATTTCCCCCATTCTGTCTATTTCCAGTCCACTCAGGCTACAGATGTGGATTCCTTTTGGATTCACTTGTGTTACTTATGACTGAACCAAGAATAACTGATTTGAAGCTTTGCTTCAAAAGCAGCTGAAAGTTCTCTCTACTGCAGTATACCAACACACTACTGGGGGTTTGGTTTGGTTTTAGGGGGGAGTGTGTGTGTGTGCTTGATTTTAATGAAAATTTAAAGAAAATGTGGGTTTTCATTCATTGTTGTATAACACTATCAGGTTTTTAAGGCCTTATATTTTCCTGTTAGCTGTCTCACCTGAGGAGATTACTTTTATGTACCAAAGAAGAAAGTTGTAGTGTTTTTGGTCTGTTAGTCCCAAGAGTTCTCATGGGCTCTATCCATTTTTCCCAGACCTAGAAAATGAAAAAAGGTTGGGCTATATCTTAGTTACCTAGTTCTGTTGTAATAGAAATACCACAAGTGAATGATTTTAACAAGTAAAAGTTTATTATAGTTAAAAGTCTGAATTAGGGACACTAGCTCTAGGGCAAGCTTTTCTGTCGTTGTCAACTCTGGGAAGGTCTCTGTCTCCTTTCACACCTGGGACCTGGCGTTCCTTGGGGATCTCTTTGTGTCTTGGCATCAGGCTTCCCACCCCAGATCCAGGAGGTTCTCTATGGGTCCTGAAGAATGTCCTTAACTCCTGGCACTTCTTTCTTGATAGTAATATATCGCTCCCTCTCTGCTCATCTTTCCTTTCATCTCTTGTAAATTAAAAGGTAATGCAGACCACACCCCATGAAACTACCTGAGTAAGGCTAGGACCCTAATCCCCTCACTACTGATAGTGATGATTAAACCTCATCGTTACATCAGTGCCAAACCACAGAGGATTGTGACCTGGACAAGTTGGCACATATTTTTGAGGGGACACAATCCATGATAAGTCCCTCAGCCCACAGAGGACAAGGAGAGCAGGGTGGTGGCACTCAGCCGTGGCTGCAGCGTACTCATTTATTTGCCTCTGCTTCAGTAATCTGGTCTCCCAGAGGGAAGAAAGAGCAAGCCATCATGTTCTTGCAGCCTTTCCTCCTACAGGTTTCTTGTTACTTTATTGCACAACTCAGATGGTTTGCTTTTAACGGTCTGCTTGTCTTGTTCCATTTGACCTATAAAAATGTTAACAGTCTCTAAGTAGATTTTTAAAGAGTTGAATGTTTCTTTGTCAGGTCGTACAGCATTTTTGACAACAATCGTCAGGATCCCACGGGGCTGACAGCGGCTCTACAGGCCACAGACCTCGCCGGCGTTCTGCACATGCTCTACTGTGTCCTCTTTCATGGCACCATCGCGGACGCCAGCACGGCCAGTCCCAAGGAGAGTTACTCCCAGAACACAGTCCAAGTGGCCATTCAGAGTTTACGCTTCTTCAACAGCTTTGCAGCTCTTGATCTGTCTGCTTTTCAGGTACCAAGATTTGTTTTGTACAGTTGTTAACCAACCAAGAATTAGTATCTTAAGTCAGGCTATGGTGTGAGCTGCTTCTCCTGAATTGGGGCATATGAAATAAATGATAATCATACAGTGTTTCATTTTAACAATATAGTTAGAATTTTAATATATGCCATTTCTTAGTTCCTCCTTTCTTTTAAGCACCATGTTCCTCATTCATTTCTTTAACTATCCTACAAAAATATTATTCGATCCATTTTAAATATTACTGGAAACAATTATTTACCCAGGGATGCATATGACTGAACCAAGACTGGTACCCATGACTCTCTGACCCCAAAGCCTAAACTCATTTCATGCTGTTTATAAAGCTTCTGTCCTCAAATTCTTCAGATAAAGGCACTATCATCCCATCAACTTTTAAATATTAGGAAAAGTAATGGTTTCTTATATAAACAGAAACAAAATTAGATAAATTGTTTTGATTGATATGACTTTCTATGGAAGATTTAACTGACTTGTGTCCAGACTAAAGTGCATGTATAGTTAAAAGTGCAAACCCCTATAAATTAAGTTTTTATGGCTAAAGAAAGAAAAATTGCCTTGTGCTATAATACCGAACTGTCAGCTTAGAGAAAAGATATTTTTTCATGTAGGAAATTTAATTTTCAAAAACACTGAACCTTTGGAGCGGAGCAAGCCCCACAGAGTACACTTTCTCTTTCAGTTTATTAACTGTCAAGTGATTTCATTAAAAAAGGAACAAACTTGGCAGATGATGAACCCATAATTTAGATGAATTACTTCACTCAGAGGGAAAAGGTTATAAAGACACGAGTGTATGAAAATGGTGGTCCTTGGTCATTCTGTGAGGGAAGAAACTCTTCTGTTTTGAAGTTGATGACAAATGTGCCATTCTTAATTAATGTCTTCCTGTCATTCTTTTCACAGAAGGAAATTAGTGATAAAGTTGTACCATTGAGTCCAGTATCATTCAATTTTGTAAAGTTAGTTTATTCTGTTCACTACAAGAACAGAGATTCTGTCCTTGATGGTCAAAGGCCTCTTGGTTTTTAGTGAACTAGCCCTGGTTGGCACCTAAAACAATACAATAGCTGTTCCCACCAGAAGATGCCAAATGGCTCTTATCTCTGGAATGAATTCAGTGTCTTTGTCTTATGACGACCCAAGGCCATTATGTTCTGTCTTGCAAATCAAAAGAAAGCCCAATTTTATGTCCTCAGAATATGGAGTCCTGAGTCTCCCCATCAGCTAAGACTGATCTTCTCTGTTAAGAGAGATTATGAAAAAGCAAATTTTTTTTCAATTTTTAAAAGCAAAATATTTAAAGCTGTCTCAGCTTCTATTTTCATAGGTCTTCTGAGATTTATATTGCTACAGGGTGCTCCACATCATAAATTAGTATTTGTGTTAAGTCAGCCATTCCCATTAGTCACCCTGAGAGTCAGGGAACCCCAGGTCCCCATGACCTCCGTTCTTCTGCGTAGCCTCTCTCACAGAGGAAACACCCCTGAACCTCCACCCTGCTCCGTGCTCAAGTGGCCTTTAGGCAAAATTCCAATATTGTTAGAAAAATCAAAACCTTATATTCATGGGCCCTTCATGCCAAGGCAAGGTAAAAGCCAAAGTGTTTCCTCTCTACATCCTTACCACACCTAGCCAGAAGTGTATCCTCCAATGAGAGACTTGTCCCAGAATCAACATCCAAAAGTGACTCAAGAGTGTTCAAATTCAATGTTCAATGTTCTTTCTTAGCTAGTTCTTATAATTCTCCATTTCTTTTATTTCTTTTCCCTCCCTTTTTACACAGTTCATATCTTTCTTTACCTTTATTATCTTCTGTCTCTATTCTGCCTCTCCTGCCTTCTTTCATTTTAGTCAAGCTTGCCATTGATGTTTCTCATACTCTTCTCCCCTGTAATTTCCAGTTACCCTTTTCCTCTTAACTAGAGCATGGGCCCCAGAAACCTACAGAAACATTCCTCTCCCTCCAGTTCCTCTCACTCTTCACAAGTTCCCCCAGATCCTGCACATGTTTCTCTCTGATTCTTCAAAAGCATCTGTAGGACTCAAATATAGCTTCTAGTGTAATGATCTCTAATGCATTTACTGATAATTATCTATTTGTTATAATTATTCTTACACATTTTTTTTAAAAAAAGCAAAAACCGTACTAAGTTTGAGAGAACAACAACCATCTTATTATGACCTCAGGTTCTATGAGTCTGGAATTTAGACAAGGCTAATTACAATCAAGATGGCTTATCTAAACCACAGTGTCAGGGCTTTAGCTCAGAGACCCAGATTGCTGGCTGACATAGGTTGAGGGATTGAGTCAAACAGCTTGGAACTGGAATTATATGGAGACCCTTCACACTCATGTCTGTTGTCTGAGCTGATCTAAACTCTGGGATGATCTAAAATGGTTAGACAGCATCTATATACAGCTACTACATGCAATTTGGACTTCTCAAAACATAATGACTGAGTTCTGAATCAGAGTATCCTGAGAGAAAGCTTCCAGAAAGCAAGTGCTCCAGGAGAACCTGGCAAAACCTGCATGGCTTTTCAGGAACTAGCCTCAGAAGTCACATTGTGATGTATCTACCATACTATATTGGTTGAATCAGTCATAGCCTTCCCAGATTAAAAAGGAAGGACATAGGGTCAACCTTTCAATGGGAGGATTTCAGATTTTTGTGACTTTTTTTATTGAACCACCACCCTCTGTTCAGCAAGCTAAAAGAACAACAACTTAATGCTCATATAAATATATGAATATTTGCCATGTGTCATTTCAGTGGGTAAGTTTTGCAGAAAAGTACTATTTTTACAGATAGATATGGTGAGAGAAACTTATTTACTTCATTCAGATGATTTATGTGGCAAAAGATCGCAGGAATTATCATTTTGCATACCAAGGTGAGTCTGATTAAGGCCATGATCTTTTCCATCACTTGCTATGCACCCAAGAGCTGGGCAGTGAATAAGGGTGACAGAAGAAGAATTGATGCCTTTGGGTTGTGGTATTGTAGAAGAGTGTTGAATATCCATGGACTACCAAAAGAAAAACAAATATATCTTTGAAAAAGTGTAGCTAGAGCGCTTCTTGGAGGAAAAGATGATAAAGTTTTATCCCACATACTTTGGTTATGTTGCTAGGAGAAGCTCTTCCTTGAAAAGAGGCATCATGTTTCGAAAGATGGAGAGTCAGCAAAAGAGAAGACCTTCAACCAGATGGATCGACAGTGATAGCAGGAATGGGTTCAAGTGTGTCAGAGATGATGAGGATGGCACAGGACAGACAGGGTTCAGATCTCTTGTTCACAGGATCACTATGAGTCGTATTTGATGCCATAGAAACCAACAACAAATAACATTTGTAAAGGGCAAGAAAAGAGAAATGACATGGAAAGAAAGTATGCGTCTCAGCATGGGTCTGATCTCAGAAAAATCTAGGAGACAATTCATTCATTACCTTGAAGGAGCATAGGAAATGAAGAACTAAACAGAAATGTATTAAGTGGCCTGACCTGCTAAAAAATCAGACAAAACAATGTCTAAAACATGTCGATGGTTTCAGCTGCAGTGCACAAGGGTGCAGATCATCATGCTTGTCAACATCCTGGGCACAGAGGCAGGCTCGACTGGCTGCCACTTCCAACTGTGTGACCTCCGGCGAGTCACTTGAACCCTAACACTCATGTAGAGATTGAAAATGCCTACTCTCAAAGGCTGTATGCAGATTAAATGAAATTACATAACAACACTGCTCTTGCTGAACACATAATAAACACTCAGGAAGTATTTGCTGACAACACTTCTGAAGATGAAAAATTTACCCAAACCATCTTGCAGACTTTGAGTCAAGAAGTCAGGAACTGACTACAGCATTTCAGTTGCTCTTCCTCCCTTTGAAGTGTCACGCCTGTGTGCTTGTTTTATGGGGGAGCCCCTCCAGCAGTAGCAATAGCAGAAAAGTTTGGCCACTAGAAGGTTTTTCCTAGCTGCTTCCATTTCATTGTATGCTAATAAGGCTGTCAGAATATTTTTCTCCCTCCTGGAAAGAATCTGCTCTCACTGTGGAGTCATAGTGGCTCAGATGGCCTCAGGATCAGGCATGTTGTATATTGCCTCCACTTTGACAGTTTTTACAATTGAAGGTGATCTCAAGAAACAAATCAATGTACTGAATTGGCCATTAATTCTGGCTAAAAAGGAAATATTGTTTCCTTGAAAAATTGGTTTAATTTTTATATTCAAACTTACATGCCCCTTGACCTGCTCGTATCAGTGAAGGTTAACTAGAGAGCACTGGGTCACAGCATGCTGGACCAACTAATTAAATAAAGACTGGGCTCAGAAGGTGTCACCATTTGATTTAAAGGCGCAAAGCCCTCCTGAAGACTTAAAAATATTGGTGTATATATATGTGTACGTGTGTCCAGGATTGTTGAGACATTAAGATGCCCTTAAAATTTTGCAGCAATTTTGTTTCAGTAACATTCACTAAAAGACTTACCACTGCTAGACAAAGTAAGTTTATCAGAATTTCCAAGCTGCAGTGTAGTGACCTAGTTCAAGCCTGCCAAGACCTCAAAACTAGAGATGAGTTTAAAACCCTGCCTTTTCCCACCAGCCAGCAGCGGTGTTTCATTCCAGTGCAGCGCGGCGAGTGTATTCTGTGGGCTTCGCCTCTCCCCTTTGCCCTCCTGTCGCTCTGTCTGTTTGACATGTTTATTAAATAGAAGCTTCAGGCTGTGCAGACAGACTCGGGCTCTCCTCCCGAGTCGCCCACCACTAACAGCCCTTTGCTTGTCTGGAGAAAGGATCCCAGAAGCCTGACAGTTGAGAGGGTTTCATGGGCTTGGGGTGGGGAGTCCTTTGAGGAAACTTTTTATACCAAGGAGCCTTGAGTTTCTAGTGCTGTTTACTTGAATACTATTTATTTTTTATATTTCTTTTCTTTTTGAACACAGGCAACTAATTGGAAATTTATTATCTAGTCTGAGTACAAGAAAATATTTTCTCCAGAAAAAAATGGTATTAGAAATACAATATATAATGTATTAGAAGTTAGCTGAGTGTCAGTCACACTAACAGCACCTTAATCCTCAGAGTGCACACATCTAGGCTGCTATGCTCTATTCTCTGTAGATTTTCGGGATAAAGTTTTGTCTTTATTATGGTCATTTATTAGAGCAAGAAGCCCTGAACTGAACTGTTAAGCATAGTGCCCTGGACACTGCATGTGCTCTGACAGTGCTGTGACAGAAAGTGTGCAGAGCTCTCTTACTTTATGGTTTGCAGCCCTTGCTCTCCCTGGACAGAAAACTTCTGACTGCTCCTTGTCTTTGTCAGTCTATCATAGGGGCAGAGGGCTTGTCCCTTGCATTCCGGCACATCGCCAGCTCCCTGTTAGGTCACTGCAGCCAAGTCTCCTGTGAAAGCCTTCTCCATGAGGTCATCGTCTGTGTGGGCTACTTCACAGTCAACCACCCAGATAACCAGGTAAGAGGCCCCAGAACGTTCCTTTCACTGCTCCCCCATCGCTGAGAGTGTGAGGTATTGGAGTGAGAAAAGGCAGGCTGGCCTGCTGGAACCCATCTGTCCTGTGTGAGGCCCTTTACCAGGCTCCAGAACTACGCCTCTAGCTTCTTCCCTCCACAGAGCTTTGATCCTCTCAGAGCTACAAAAGAAAATCATTTTAATAAATATTGTTAGGTCACACAGAAACATCTCCTGCCTCACTCTGACTAGCTTCTTGTAGCATATATTCTGATACCTTTACAAATCTATTCATAGCATTGGAGTCTGGTGCTTCATGTAATTGTGCGTTCTTTAAGCTTTTGGCTTCTGCCTGGGTGCTCAGAGGCTGCCAGATGGTATCTGAAGAGGAGGCTGAGGTCAAAGGTCTGGGCCACTCCCCCTGGAGTCCTTCAGTGAAGTTTTGTTTTTCAATTATTTGGCTTCTGAGCAAGATTTTATTTGTAAATAGGATTTTGTTGCTTCAAGAAGTTAAGAGATCTGTGTTAAGTGTTTGGGGTGGGGGAAACACCTTATTTCTCTTTACTTTTTAATCTAAGTTAAAACGTAGCAAACATTTCAAGTATTGATTCCTGATGGTCTCGTTAGCCTAGCCTTCTATTTGGCAACCTTAAATCTCACCCAAAACCTTCTCATTTTTGTTTTGGACAAATTTCTAATAAGCTTGCTTATTAGGTTGTCTTAGGGAGCTCTGGTGGCCTACTGGCAAGAAGCTATGTGGTTTGAATCCACCAGCTATTCTGCAGGAGAAGGATGGGGAATCCCTTCCAGCAATTAACTGCCTCTGAAAATCCACTGGAGGGTTAGCTACGGGTCAGCCCCAACTCAACTTAAAGGTACACAATAACATTAGATGCCTCATTTATCTTAAAGAAAATAAACTATGAAACAAAACATCTCATTGCTGTTGAGTCAAAGCCAACTCATAGCTGACTCCCCAGCAGGATTTCAGAGGCTGTAAATCACACAGAGGAGATTACCCATCTTCCACTTTGGTTATCTAGTGCTGCTATATCAGAGATAAGACCACAAGTGGATGGCTTTAAGCAAATTATTCTCTTGCCATATAGGGGGATAAAAGTCCATATGCAGAGTGCCAACCCTAGGGCCCAGCCCTCCCTGCCAGTTCTAGAGCACCCTTGTTTCCTGCAGCATCTCTAGGCCCAGAAGTCCTTGGAGAAATCCATGAGTCTTGGCCTTCTCCAGTGCAAGTTGCTCTCTGGAGCAGAAAGAAACCCAAGTTCAAAAGGATACACTCCATGCCTGGTAACTCCTTTTCTGTGGCACTGAGGTCCTTTTCTCTCAGCTTGCTTTCCTCTCCTTTTATCTCTAGAAATAAAAAGTGTTACAGGTTACCCTAGGGAAACTTGTTGTATTCTATCCTTATCCCCTTACACCTGTTTGGCATATCAGATCATGGGGAGATCATTACATAGCTTCAATATTAGGTAATTACATACATGTGTTTTGAGGGGACACAGTGCAAGCCATGACACTAGGTATATTGACCCACAGCAGACTAGTCCAAGACAGAAAAGAACGAAGGTGAAAAACCACACGATCTGTAATTGCCTCTCTAACGAGAAAGCAGATGTTTGGTTTTTATTTTTATTTTGACTGATTAATGCAGTTAACTAATTGCAGTATCTGATCAATCTCTTATTTTCTGTTGCCTTTCTCTTCACCCAACTTTTCTATGTATTAATATTTACTCCCCCCTCCTTCCTTTCCCATCCCTGATAACCATCCAAGAATGGTTTTGTGTTTAAACTTTTCCTTAGCTTTTTTAAATTGTGGTTTTATACAGGAATTGTTCATTTGTGATTGCCTTCTGTCACTCAGTATAATTTCCTCTAGATTCATCTATTAATTTTGCTTTTGTTTCTAGAGTGCAATATCTCATTGCTTTTATTTTAATTGCTAAAGAAAAAATTCTCAATTTGTTCCCCTTTGCACTTGGTATAGGAGCATATATTTGCATAATAGTTGTGCTAATAGCAAGCCTTCCTTGTATGTGTATTAATATTATCCTATCACTCACACCATTGTATTTCAGGATAGAACTTGAAATTGACTCTTTGACTATGAATGCAACGCCATTCTTCCTCTGTTTTTCTTCCCTTGCATAGTATACCATATGATTGTCTGATTCAAAGTGGCCAAAGCTGATCCATCACATATCACTAATGCCTAGTATTTTGATTTTCATGTGTTCCATTTCATTTTTTTAATTTTCATTAATTTTTTAAATGAACATTTACAGAGATTTTGGATTTCCATTCATTTATTGTTGCACTTTTCTCCCTGCCCACCCCTCCATCCCCAGTTTGCTCCTCTCCTTGAAAAGTAAAAGAAAAATTCCTTCATTGGTATAAAACACCCCTTCCAGGGTCCACTCCACTATACAACGTTAATTCTGGACTCTTGTCGTAACCATAATACCCAATCATATATCGCTTTTAAACTGTTCTCTCCCTCATCTGTTTCAATGCAGTATACATAATTTATTCACTTTTTCTCAGTCTCATCCCAACCCTGATGTCAGTCCCGTCCTATAACAGTGGCACTATGTGGTATTTGTCCTTTTGTGACTGAGATATTTAACTCAGCATAAGGTCCTCCAGGTTCACCCATTTCGAATAATATTGCATGAATTCCTTGTTTTTCAGTGCAGTGTAGTATTCCATTGTGTGAATATACCACAGCTTCTCTATCCATTCATTTGTTGATGGCACTTAGGTTGTTTCCAACTCTTTGCTATTGTGAACAAAGCAGCAGTGAGCATGGGTGTGCATATATCTGCCTCAGTGGCATTTATAGTTTCTTTAGGGTATATTCATAGTAGAGGAAATGCTGGGTCAAATGATATTTCTTTTTGCAACTTTTTGAGAAAGCGCCATACCGCCTTCCACGATGTTTGCACCATTTTACACTTCCATCAACAGTGAATAAATGTCCATTTCATTTTTAACAGTTTCCAGTTTTCCAACATTCAAGCTACGTACATTCCGTGTGCTAATTGTTAAATGATGTTTGTTATTGATTTTCCTCATTTCAGTCTGGGCTCTACCACTACACTATTATAACTGTCCTCTTTGTTTAGTGTTTAAAGGGCTTTTAGGACACTTTTATTGAGGATATAGATGGAGGGAATATACAAAGTCACTGTACCAGAAAGACTTGATTGACACTGAAAATTTCAGGTAGTACCATATGAACAGGAGCCAATGGTAATGAAGGAGGAAATAGAAGCTGCATTGAAGGCATTGGCCCCAGGAATTGATGGGATACCAATTGACTTGTTTCAATTAACAGATATAACCTTAGATGCACTCACCAGTCTATGCCAGGAAATTTGGAGGATGCTTGTCTGGCCAGTGGACTGGAAAAGTCCATATTTGTTCCCATTCCCAAGAAGGGTGATCCAACTGAATGTGGAAATTATCGAACACTATCACTGATATCACATGCAAGCAAAATACTGCTGAAGATCATTCAAAAATGGCTGGAACATTACATAGATAAGAAACTGTCAGAAGTTCAAGCAGAATTTAGAGGAAGTCATGGCACCAGGGATATCATTGTTGATGTCAGATGGATCCTGACTGAAAGTAAGGAATACCAGAAGAATGTCTATTTGTGCTTTATTGACTATGCAAAGGCATATGACTGTGTGGATCATGACAAGTTGTGGCGAACACTGAGAAGAATGGGAATCCAGAGCATTTGATTGTGCTCATGCAGAACCTATACCTGGATCAGGAGGCCGTTGTGCTATTGGAGCAGGGGAGCACTGTGTGGTTTGGCATTTGGAAGGGAGTGTATCAGGATTGTATTCTCTCTCCTTACCTGTTCAGTATATATTTTGAGCAAACTATCTGAGAAGCTGGACTCTATGAAACGGAGTGTGGCATCAGGATTGGAAGGAGACTCATCAATAACCTGTGTTATACAGATGACACAACCTTACTTGCTGAAAATGAGGAGGACTTGAAGCACTTGTTGCAGAAGATCAGGGAATGTAGCCTTCAGTATGGATTGTGTCTCAATATCAAGAAAACAAAGATTCTTCCCACTGGACCAATAGACAGTGTCCTGGTGGATGGAGAAAAGATTTAAACTGTCAACAGCTTCATCTTGCTTGGATCCACAGTTAACACCCTTGATATGAGCAGTCAGGAAATAAGGAGATACATTGCACTAGGAAAATCTGCAGTTAGGGTCTTTCCAAATGACTGATAAGTAGTGATGTCAGTTTGAGGACTAAGGTGTGTCTGGTTCAGGCCATAGTCTTTCTGATTACTTGCTAAGTATCTGAGAGCTGGACAGTGAAAAAGGATGACAGGAAAAGAATTGACGCATTTGAGCTGTGGTGTTGGAGAAGAGCCCTGAACATCCCATGGATGGATGGCCAAGTGAACGAATAGATATGTCTTGAAGATGGTGCAGCTGGAGTGCTTTTTGGAGGCTGGAGTGCTTTTTGGAGGCAAGAATGATGAGGCTTTGCCTCATATACTTTGGACATGTTGCTAGGAGGTGCTGTTCCTTGGAAAAGGAAATTATGTTGGGAAGGGTGAAGGGTCGGCAAAGGAGAAGACGACTCTCAACCAGGTAGACTGACATGATGACTACTGCAATGGGCTCTTGTATGTCAGGAAGTGCGAGTAAGGTGCAGGATAGAACAGGGTTCAGATCTTTTGTTAATTGGGTTGCTTTGAGTCATGCTTTGCTCCACAGCACCTAACAATGACAACAATGGCTAATGATCTTGAACATATTTTCATAAGTTTGCTGGCCACCTGAATGTCTTTTTTGGTGAAAATACCTTTTTATGTCCTCTGCCCATTTTGTAATTGGGTTCTTTGTCTTTTTCTTAATTCGGTATTGGCATTTTCTGTAAATTTCAGAGATAAGTTTCTTATAATTTCCAATTATTTTTACCATTCTGTAGCTTCTCTTTGTGC